GTGTAGGTTGTTGGCGATGCCTAAACCGCGGGGGGGTATGGGAAAAGATTACAACGCTTACCGCTTACCCGCTCCGAACAACACTTCTGCAATATTCTTTGACATTTGCGACGCTTACCTGGCGAATCCTCCTCCGAAACAAACTCATGAGAAAAATCCGTCTCTGACGGCCAGTTCCATCTTGCCCTTGACATCACCATCCACTCAACACCCCAGCGGAGTGAAAGCCCCACGGCATCCCAAACCATTTGCACCGTTTTCACCTGCCATCGTCCCTTGTCCTCGTACTGGTGCCAGGAGCAGTGAAGATTGTGTGCACCGGCACCGCTGGGCCCCCGCGCTTTGGCAAAGGCATTCAACTTGTCGAAGTGCTTGGGCAGGGGCATCGAACCATCCACACATGGCACATGGCGCCCAGGGCGCAGTAACTGGGCTGGGATTTTAATCTGGCGAGATTCAAAGGGTTTATAAACATCGCCAAACATCACCCGGCTGGGCTTTCATGATTGTGTCAAACTTCTGAAGCTGAGTGATCTGCCGGTTTCATTAGACAGTCTAGAGTCTAGAGTCTAGGTCTGCGACTGCACGGAGTGTCATTCCGCATGGTTGCAAATCTTGCATGTTACCATCCTTCAAGCGGATGTTTTTCTATATATGTTTTTGTTGGTCTTGGCTGCGTGTGGCGAAACCCATATCTCATTCTCACCTCCCTGTTTCTGGGCATGGCCTCTCTATTTCAAAGCTTCGGGCCGCACAGCGAACGCGAAACACGGCTGGAAACGCGCGTTCCCACGTTGAGTCTAGGTTGGTTTCACAACAACAGCTCGCACCCGGCACCACCAAGGGTGCCGTCGTTCCATGTGACCTGGTGTAGCCGTTCATCAGATACCCTCCGTGACTGGCATACCACAACCTTTGGCAATACGAAAGGAACGCCAACGTCGCCTGAAAAGAAGGCGACGAGTCCGGATCCGTGACGGGATCCAAAGCCCGCATGAACCTCATGTACCAAGAATAAGAAGTTACCTAGTCCGTAGTCCCTTTTTCAGATCAGCAAGAAAAACGAGTGTCATACCAAGATTGCTCGGGCACCTGAAGCCTGAGTTGAGTCAATTCAAGCGCCATGTCCGATGTCAGGGTCCCAGCCAAATCTGTGAAGTTCTTGGCCACGACTGTCAGACTCCTCCAGGTTCGTTGCGGCTTCCGGCAGTCGTATCATCCCTGCTTGGTGCCATAGAGATTCACACCCTCAAAGCTTGAACAATGCCTCCAAAAACATGCAACACGAAGAAAAGCATGCTTCCAACGTCCACAAAGTGGAGAAAGCCCTATTCCGTTGTGAGGGGAGAAACTTCGTCCTGATCCAGTTTCCAGTTCTGTGCCCCACCACGCCATCTAACAGACCTCCCCGTCTTCGCGTTTTCCAGACCTCTCGAGACGTCGGTTCGCCCCGCCTTGCCCCCATGTCGGGGACGCGAATTGCTCCGTGCACGGGTGCTTTCAATGATCACTACTGGCTCTCACCTACGATAACTGGTGCTTTCCGAAAGTGTGCCAATCACTGTTCGAAACCAATGATTCCAAAGTAAGCTCTTCAGGGTGCGCGAAGCACAGGCACCGGAAGCACGATGGACTGCAGTGACAGCCCGACATTATGACAGTGGCGGAGCCGCAGTGAGTTGTAAAGCCTGGTGAGTTGTAAAGGCGGTCATGAAAACCAACATCAAAAATGTTGGGCATTGTTGGACCCACTCCAAGTACCTGTTGGGAATCTCTGGCATCCCACGATTCTGCGGCTCGCCACCCCACTTTGGATACTAGAGATGCAGCCGTCGTGCTCTTCCTGAATCTACCACCTCTACCTGGGCTTCAATGCATTTTTATCTTTGGCCCCGCTTCGCCACAGCAAAAGCAGGTAGAGTCTATGCCGTACAGAGATTTTGGTCGATTTGATTCAGGTTCGCTCATGCTCCTGTACAAATGCCGCTGCACGCGAGGGACGTGTACGGCGGGATTGGCATCCGGCTGAGGTGGACATGAGCACAGCCCTTTTTGCGAAGAAAAAGCCAATCAGTCACTTCACCGCTACAGCCACATGAATATCAAAGGAAGCGACATCAACAGAATGAGAGAAAACCAGCCTAAAGAAGACAGCTTGGTTTTCTTGGGCAGTCTTGGGAAGACAGCTTCCGATGCACAGGGGCCGCTCTAAACCTCATTTCGATCGAACATCCAGCATCCAGCTTCCCCTTCCGGCCACAAGGTCTTGTTTTGGCTTGTGTGATACACAGGGCCAAGCCGGCCAAGCCAGGGCTGCATAGGCAGATATGTCCAGGTGCGGCCCACTCCTCTGTCAAAGGGGAGAAAACCGCTCTCCTGAGTCAAATTGTAGTCCAACTCCAACAAACAAACTCCGGGATGTCATGGTTTTTTTCAGGGTCCCCTGAAGAGCCCTGGAAAATCTGGAAACTACAAATGTTCAAGAGCACGTTGGCTCGCAGAATGCTGGACTCGAGAAATGGGTGAAACCTGCACCACGCTCTCCCACTTGCGTTGCGAAAGGCACTTCAATGCATAACTCTTATCCAAACACCCAAAGAAACCCTTGGCCGCCCACCTTTTTCTTGAAAAGTGCCTATCCAGCGCAAGGGTCAACAGTCACAGTCCAGGAGCGAAATCACTGCGATAGCTTTGCTGGACCATGACATGTGGCAGCACAGACGTCAACTTGAAGACTGCGGCACATTCTTTGAGCCAGTTCTTAGGGAGAGCAGCACCTTTTCGCAAAACACTTGGCTTCTCGACAAGTAGACAGGAAGATTCGGGTAGCATGAGCATGGCAAACAGGTCCTCTCTGAACATGAAGCAAACATGCTGCAGCAAATATGGGCTGCTCTCCCACGGATACTGCTGTGACAGCTTCCAACGGTCTGAAACACACTCGGCATCTGGAACACGCTGAAACGTCCCCGATGGCATGTGACTGACAACTCTTTCTTGTGGGGAACCTCTGAACAGCCTTCAACCCAAGGATTACCATAGGGATTCCCATCGGGCCACTAGCTTCACCTCCTGCAGAGTTGCCATCTTTGGCCGAGGTCTTTCACTGATAAATCTCCACCGGGCTTGCGTAAGCATAGCTGCTCACACAAGGGTTTGTCCACCTCACTGCGATCTGGGAAGTCGGAAAGCATTTGGCATCCATTGAAACATGTTGAAACGACTTTCGGCTTCAGTTCAACCACTTGTCACCACGACTTCATTTCACCACGTGTCACCCACCCCGGTGCCCCTATAGGCCCATCCGGGCTCTTGTGCCCCAAACGGCCAAGGGGCGGAATTGCCGGATCATCTCGGAACCTCAGCGAAATGAGGCGTAAATGCACCACTTGTGAACTTGTGCCCCCAGAAACGGCCCAACAACGCCGTGTAGCACTGGCAGGCCCAAGCGGCCTCTGATTCCCTGTCTTTTGACTTGAGAGCCTCGTGCCACAGACCTCTCCACCAGCCAAATCCATGGCAGGCGCAACTCCCGCCGCGCAGATGCGCGCTTGTGTCCAAGAGGCGACAAATCCATCGGAACTTGAAGATTCTGGGTCTTCAAAATCTCAGTCGAAAAAACCTTAGAGGTCGACGCGTCCTCCAACACAGCTCTCCATCTGCCTGGTGTTGGAAGTTGGCTGATTCTTACTTAAGAAGGCCACTCCCAATGTATGGCTCGACCGAAGAGACAACGAAAAAGCTCACAAGCACATCTGTTTTAGGGAGACGCCTCGATTCCCATTTTCTTTACATGGCTGTAGGTCCAATCCTGGTGACCGTATCCCCACATTGACTAGGAACAAGGGCATTTCTACTGTAGGAGCAAGAAGCTACAGGGGCTCCTGGCCATACTACTAGGAGCAAGGACGCTACTAGGGGCTCAGGCATCGCTACTAGTAACAAGGACGCTACTAGGGCTCCCTGCCTGGGCTCGTCTCACCAGGTTGGCCTGGTCCTCCGTCAGCCGGGCGCCTTACTGAGACACTCTCTCTCTTTCTCTCTCTCTCTCTCTCTCTCTCTCATGGTCATCCGGTCCAGGTTGAAGCATTGGAGAGGTACAAACGGTGGGGACTACCATGAAATCTCAACATGCTTTAAGCCTCACTCCTCGACTCCCTTTTCGACACAGCAACCATCTGCTGGAATACCCTCCCAGGCAGGTGTATCCATCGCATAGGGTCACGATTGATCACAAGTCATCGGCAGAAATTTGAAAGGCTGAGCAGCTCCTAGATCAATTTCTTGAAGCTCATCAACTAGCGGTACAACTGAATTTGAAGGTCAAGGAGATTGGCCGGAAAAAGGTCACATGCGCTGGTGCGTGGGACAGTCAGCAAAATGCCAGAGTCACTGTAGAGAAATGCGTTGATGTGCATTTTGATCTGCATTTTAACCAGGGGCTCTATGAGCTCCCACCTTTTCCTCCTAATAAGAACCACCCTTTCGGGGCTCTCACTGCGATCAAGGCACGTCTGAGGGCCAGCGAATTGCAGTGCCGTGCGATGATGACGGCCTGAGATTGCCACCGACGCATCGCCATGCCCAACGCGTCAACGGGACACGAACGACGCGTCAAATGCCAAGGGTACAAGACTCCCCCGCTTTGGCTGTGAACCAAGCGCCACATGCGCAGTCAAAGCAGCCACAAGACTCGGGTCCCCGCTCCAATCACAAGTTAAATAGCTGGAGGGTCGCTCGCTAGAGTAAGAAATACAGCTCTCACCCGAACTGACAACCAGCGATCTGCGCGTCCAGAGCCTTCACCGTCTTCTTCCGACCATCAAGCTTTTCAAGCCAAACCAAATCCTGGTGGAGCGTGTAAAGCCCGAACGGATCTGCACCTCAGATTCGCACTGCCAATGGATGCTCTGCACGAAAAACGAACACACACACGATTGTATCGGCACGAAACGCCGAGAATTGATGGCATGCGGAAACGAAAGGGAGAAACGGAGCTCTCAGCCTGGGTCACGGTGATCAATCTGGGTCCATCGACAAGGAAGAGGAGGAGGAGAGGGAGGAGCCAGAAGATGCCGCAGAAAGAAAACATCCCCCTCCACATGGGCCTTTTTTACCCCCAAACGCAAAACCGCTCCTGCCACCAAGTCGCGGAGGTACTGAAGCATGCTCTCTGATCGCTGGTAGGCGGGCATGTAGGAGCCGCCGATGGGTTGCTTGGTACCCAGGATCGCCTGCCAAGAAGAGCTATGGCAGCTATGGGTCAACGACGCATGGATTCCTTGTGCCATTTGGCGGCCGCAGAACCGGCATCTTGAAACAACTAAAGCTTTGCAGGAGAATGTGCAAAGCACTCGACATCTAGAATCTAGAACCCCTGCTGGGAACCTAATCAAGCGACTGCCTCCACTCCCTTCTACGTTCTGCCTGAGTCTTCAAAACGGTCCTTCTTCTCATCATCGGTCCACCCGATCCCGTGCCTCGATCCGGTGCAAGTCGTCCACCGCATAGAGCGCCTTCTGTGCCACCAGCGGCAGCTCCAAAGCTCGCCGGTTCCTCGGGTCAACACGAGACCAACAGCCGATGCGTGAGGAGAAACGGGTGGGCGAGCAGAATCCAAAATCGCTTCTCTCTGCCACTGAGGGAGAGGAACAAAAGGGGCCTTCCTCTGGATGACTCCACGTGGATTGGCTGAACATCCTGCACCAACCACAAAATGATCAAAATGCCTCCTCAAAGATATCACAAAGGATAATGGTCCATTTTGACCTTTTTCCTAAAGAATGCATTTCCACATATATATATATATATACATATTCTTTTACCGTATACATCCAGTGCCTCCAGGACCTCACAAGAACAAGGGGACACCTCCCCTTCTGCCTTCGGAGAATTGGCGGTTCTTGCTGCCAGGCGGCTCACAATGAAACAAGTCCCAGTCGATCTGAGCCTCGAAAAACCAACGGGGCAGCGGTGGTTCCACCTCCCAACATCGGTGCTTGGAGGGGGGAAAAAAGAAACCTCGGTACCCACAGCCGGGATCACATTCGTCACATTGACCATCGCCCTCTCCAGGAGATTAGCCTTTGGCTAAGGCGAGCAAAGGCCCAAAGCCCTCGATGTGAGCGTCAGCGAGCAAGGGTCGACACAAGCCGACCATCATGATGTTGTTGCTTCTTCTTTTTTCGGTTTCATTGAAGGATCTTTGTACTTTGTAATGTTATATAGTTAAGGCAAGGCTTTCAGAAACCAAAAAAAAATGTTGAATCTCAAACGCCTTGGACAGGCTGCGCCCCTTTACCCTTTTGGTCCCCAGCGTTCCCGACGGGTCTGACGGGCCTTTTTGGTCGGAAGCCCTTCTTGGATCTCCGCAGGCACAGACTCCAGCATCTTGGCCATGCCAATGCGGACCCGATCATCAAAGGCAACCTCAGACCAAATTCTCAAATCACCTCGCATCGAATTGAACACCTGGCTGGGGCCCCACAAAACATGAAGAAGTGCCCCTCTTGTCCGAATGCCCACTGACTTTTTTGGAAGTCAATGCACATTTATCCAAGCTCCATGACCCTTGACAACTGAGCTTTGCATTCGGCAATCACCACACCGGCCAGCCTGGGCATCAATGATCATCTTTGGGTCCACACCCAGATACTCAGGCCGCAGCTGATACCTCCGCAAAACATATTGAGGGACTTTGATGCGGAGATGTGCCAAGCGGCATCAAGAAGGACTACAACAGCCAAACATCGTCCAAAGGGTTGAGCCCAGCCGAGCCAGTTAAAGGCACCTGTTCTTTGCTCCGGAAAGTGTTCAAAAACTAACCTATCAAAACCATGAAAACTCACAAGAACGGATCCCGAGCCGTGCGAAAAGGAGTCTCCACGAACCAAGTCTCTCCCTCGGCCCGCCAAGGAGCATCAGGCATTGGCAATCGCCATTTGCACCCCAAAGGACCTTCAGGATTTGAGGGCTGCCCATTACCTGAGGTCATCGACATCTTCACACAGCCGACATTCACAAAATGACAGTGTCCTTCTCCGGATGAAGAGCAACAAGGGCTTTGGCACAAAACCGCGGAGGTGACTGCAACTGTTCTTTCCTGGCCTGTCGGATTACGTCAATGCAGTTCGTGCAGCGTAAGTCAATCAAAAGGCCTGGCAGTCAAGTCTGGAGCTCATGCATGCAAGGACAACATGTTTTGATGGATCCACCTACTGCGTTTTGTCTCGAGACCAGACCATCTCCAGGAGACAAGCCTATTGCGCCTGTATATCTGCCCACAACATAGTAGTAATGCCCTTTGTGCCTAGTAGTTTCTTGCTACTAGTGGTAATTAAGGCCAGGAGCCCCGATCGTAGCGTCCGTGTTACTAGTAGCGGTGCCCTCATAGGTGCCAAGCGTCTCAACGTCTGAGAAGGCCAAAGCAGCAACAAAACCAACAAAAGCCCGCGCTACTAGTAACAAGTGCGACGCTAGTAGTAACAAGTGCCTTACTACTAGGAGCAAGAAGCTACTAGGGGCTCCTGGCCTTACTAGTAGTAACCATGTTTGCTATTAGTAACAAGTGCATCGCTAACTAGTAACAAAAGCCCGCGCCATGGACATCAACCCGCAGACATCGACCGGTAGACTCGGTAGACCCGCAGACATCGTCGGAGGCGCCTGGCGCTTGAAAGCACTGCCGAGGGTTCAGCCGCCGCGGCAGGAAGGTCTTTGGGTCTAAGACCTGTGGTTGCACGGCTCAATGAAGACCACTTCACTGACCACAGAAATGCTGGGATATATAATCCGCGCAGCAACTTGTCCCCCAACAAATCCAAGTGTAAATCACGCAGCCTTGGTGAACTGCAGCTGAGCAATGCTGATCTCACCACCATGACCTCTGCTCAGGCGCACAAACGTTGGGCCCCAGCTTAGGGAGCCATGTCTCGTGCTGATGATTTTTGTAGCGAATCTCAGTCTCATATGGGCCGTGGTCGATGAAGGTATCTCGGCTTCTTGAGGGGCCCCGGCTAACTCTTATGTCGAAGGCAAAGGGAGGAGATGAAGCTCTTGGTTGCTAGTCAGTGTGGTTCGCTTGGTCGAGTTGGAAAGCTGCTGGCGGAGCCAGCCACATCGTGTTCCCGGAGGTCATCCCACATGCTTCTTATTTCTTCGGATGTTGTTCGACATGCAGATACCCAAGTGGTCGGAGCAGAGTTCGCATGCACGAGCTCTTGCAAAGGGCCAATAAGCCTCTATCTATCTGTCTGTCTGTCTGTCTGTCTGTCTGTCTGTCTATTCTACCTATCTACTTATCTATCTATCTACCTATCTATCTACATACAATTACCACGCACACACACATATATATATATATGTAGGTGCGTATATGTTTCGCTGCAGTCAAAGGTGATTCTATTGGCCCGAGTGCAAACAGCCAATTTGGTCAACTGCTGGGACAATGCCAATATCGCGAATAAAGTGCAAGCTTCAGATTCAGATGTCAACGGGGAGTATGTGTGTGTGTGTGCAGATACTGCTAATATCTTCATTGACATATGTGGTCATCCTCCTATACCTATGATGATTTCAGAAGCGCCGCTAGACTTCCCAAGCCTTGCTTCTTGTTGGGGCTGTGCAATTCTGCCCCGTGACAAAACGTCAAACCTTGAGACCCCAGACTACTGAAGTGAAGGTTCACTGAGTCAACTTATGCAACCAGCAATTGGACCTTTCTTTACCTGCCCCCCTCTGAATTGCCTGCTGAGTCCACCAAGTCACCTGGCATCTCACCCTCAAAATCCACCAACAAGACGGCCTTTGTCTCATGGCATGCTGCCTGAGTGCAACAAAAAGAAGGCGTCTTTTCACGCTGCCCAGCGGCTCCGACATCCAAAAAGGTTCTGGTCCGGAATCCAGAAGTCGGGTTTCATGTCCACATGTCCAACCGAATGTTTCAGCAAGCATAGTCATAGTCTTTGCCACTTATCTAGCCCGCCACCGAAAACAGTAACAATAATAATATTATATACATTATATCATTGCCGGCACAAACAGGACTCCCCCCTAAACTGTGGGTCGGGACTGGAGGCGGTCTATGCACCCTTCTGGCCATAGCTCTTTCGACCCTCAAATCCCAGCTGCCACAAAGTTCGCCACCAAGTCTTTGAGGCGACAGAACTCCTGTCACCGGAAGCGCGCAGACAAATCACCAAGCTTCGTGCCATGTCTAGGGCTCTATGTGCCACTTCTTCGCCAGCCGACCCGTTTGGAAAAATACGATTCCGCACCTATCGGAATGTGGCAACCCGGCTCCGTGCCTCCTCGGTGGGTTTGGGGATGCCCTGCACCAACTGCATCTCAGAGAGAACCAAGAAGGGGCCTTGGGGACCACGGGACCATGCGACTCGTGTGGAAGGAATCTGTTGGGACGTCTTTGCCACTGGACCACTACGGATATGATTTGACCTCAGAAAAATGGCGATTCAAAAAGACACTAAGTTTTGGACCCGTCTTGTCCAAAAGCGTGCTTTTGGTTCCGGATCAGTTTTTACAAGGGACTCAACAAAGTATCAAGCCTATTATGTCATACACTTTCTCTCGCGCATATGTATATGCATGTGTGTGTGCAGTATGCGTATGCGTATGTATACATATATATATATATGTGTATATGTATATATTTATTTATATATTTATCTAGTTATGTATTTATTTTGTTTTTGTTGTGTTTGTCTATTTATGCTTATCCCTGTGTGTGTGGGTCAGCATTCTTGGCTCTCAGTCTCTTGAAATGTCTTCCTCTGAAACCACTAGGAACGTCCTCTGGCCCCATTGAGCATGTGGAATGTTCCCGTTAATGTGGAAGGATGTTTCTTCAAAAGTCAGGTGTCTCCTGGCTTCACATCGTGAAGAAAAAATGATGGAAAACGATGTGAAATAAAGGAAATGCTTGAAGTGAATAACATCTTCACAAAGGAAAGGACTTCTTGTTGAGATACCAGTCCTCAACATCATGGGAGTCTTGGAAATTCTGTGTAATTTATTCCGCGAGTTCTGAAGAATGTGCTCTGGACGTGAAAGCATGTAGCATCAAGTAACTTACGTGCGGTCAAAATGACATCATGCTTGGTAAATAGGAGGGTGTGATTAAATATCTCCTTTGGAAGGAACACATGTTCTTTACACCTGCCACGCTTCCCCTACCTCAACAATATATATATATATAAAGAAGCAGCGTAGTCTCTTCCCAAAGCCTTTCAATGAGCTGGTGCCTCTTTCAAACCAAAAGGCCCTCATTCCTCGTGAAACTGTCCTGCATTACAAGGGCCCCATCCTGTATCCACCTGGTTCTGCACAAGGAGTGTTCAGTTCTTTCAATATCTCATACTTAGTGAATGTTTCTTTTGATGGTGACCTCACTCTGCATGAGCATATCATATCATATCAAACTGGCATGTCAAGGGGGTTCATCCTGCATTGCTCACCTTGGGCACTTGAGAACTCTCGTGAAAAGCACGTTGTAATGATCAGTCCTTCTCAGAGCAACCATTGCTAGGTTGTTGAGCCCAACTGGGCAAGTCTCAATCTTACAAAGACCTTGATTCGAATATTCAATAGGGTCAAGGAATGTTCCACACAGATTTTTGACAGTTATGGGAGTGTTTTCCACTTTTGGATGTACAGAGGTTCTCCGCCAAGGAAAATCTAAGTTCGCAAAGGGGAATGCTTTTCTTTTCTGCTTTTCGCAGAGGAAAAAATTTGCCCTTTGTAATTGAATCAAGGAAACTATCATGACACCAGGAGAGACCCTGACAATGAAAAAATATGCTTGAAAAATGAAATGTTTAAAGGTTAAACTTTTCTTTGCAAGGAAAGTGCTTTGTAAGAGTCAAGTAGGGATCAAGGACGAGACCTTTAGAATGGGGGAAATGTTCATGAAGGCCTTAGCAAAGGAGCAGACGTTCTAGTAGTGGAGGATAGCTTCTTTTAAGAGAAAGCATTTCAAGAAAAATCTTGGACAGGACTAGTCGAGGCGCACTTCAAAACCAGAGAGGCTTGCATAAACAGCAAAAACTCTTGTGAAGGGAGTCGTTTCTAAAGGAGATGTCTTGCAATATGAATGAGGCTTTGGATGTGTAGGATATATGATGATGTACTATACTTAATGTACGTGCGCGGTGGACTCAGATGGAAGTTGCTAGGATGTGACCTCGGCTGCTCCCCTCCAGAGTTCTTTCCCTGTACTCGATCCTATCACGCAGCCCATGCTACCACCCTCACAACCCAGATCATGCCAAGTCCTTCTACTTCCACCTCTCTGGCCCGAAAGGTAGCCCGGCCAAAGGTAGTCACATCTTGTGCGTCTGGCTTGAATCCGAGCATCACTCCAGGGAGCTTCTCAGCACAAAGGGCTCCAAGAAGCTCAAGAGCTCCGGCGTTTCTCGTTGCCCTGCCATCTCCACCAGCAAGGATAGCCCCGTGGTCTCGCTGTCGGGCACTGACGGCACCGGCGGGAGGTCCACAAAGAGGCTTCCAGAGCCCAGCAAGGTGACCTTGAACTGGAACTGAGTAAGTGTGGAATTCGTCATGGTGGACACCCAGTCGCCCCTGTGAATTTCTGTTTTCTGCCTCCCTAGCTCACCTACGGTACTACAAAACTATGCAGCTTTTCCTGCTCCATAATCCAAGGCACCTGAGCTGCCTTGAACTTGCCACGACCCTGGGGCTGAGCTCGGTTTTTTTCGTTTTGATCGTAGCTTCTAGTACCGATTGAAACTTACGAAAAAGGACCCAGCGCGTTGTCCAGCAGTTTCGCTGTGCCAGGGTCCAGACTTCGTTGGAATCTCTCGGCCATCGCTTCCCCAGTCTACACAGTACTTCATCCGGCTTATTGAACTTGGCTTAGCGTGTGTGTCTCTATGATTATCTATATATTTAGCTATATATATATAATATGTGTGTGTGTGTCGACTTGGTGCGAGAACTGGCCTCTAAAGGCTCCGACGGTTCCTGTCGCCTGCCTTTTGATGCAACAAGTTCCTATGACAACCATGTCCAAACTATCGCGGATTCTCTGTACAAAATGGCTGACTTGTGACTTATCTAGTGGGATGTGGAAAAAGCTCTGCGGGATGTTTTCTCAAAACAACTCCCAACCAACGTCTTGCCTTGCCGTCAGCATCTAGCCTTGCCAAGGGAGGCAGACATCAATCAGGGTAGCAATCACACCCTACAGCCATCCTAGGACGTTTCTCTCGTTTTAAGTTGTGGAGGAAAGTTAAGTGAAGTTCAGGGCCATCCAGGAGAAAGTAAAAGCCTGGAACTGCCAAGCAGACCCAATCATACACCTTCCAATGCATGATGAATTTTTGCAATGCTGGGGGGGCCCTTTCTGCCAGCTCTTGAGCGCAGTCAGGAACAAAGGACACCCTCCGGCCAGCTAGTCAACCTGCATCCCCCGGGTTGTGATTCAATTCCTTGCCTGAGGAACTGCACCTGATCACCGGCATTGAGTTCAGTGATGCCCTCGAGCGCAGACTTGTGCACGTAAATGTCCTTCCAACATATTTGATGAAATCGGCACTACTGACTTTGAAGCACACAGGCCATATCAAGTTGTATGAGCATCAACCAACTCAGTTGTCCTCGCCGCCATTGTGCGGCCGAAGAAAACCAAAGCCTGGTGAACATGGGGCATAGCCAGCATAGCTTGCAAAGGGAAGACGAACCTCTGCAAATCAGAATTCTGGGTAAGGTGATTCTAGAGCCATCCTCCAGACAGGGCACCCTCCCACCCACTCCAAACGCTCCAACCATGGGCGCCTTTGTGATCGAGCCATCTCTTCACAACCTTGGTCAAAGCCACACCGCGCTGCGATGAGTCATGCAGCTTCATCATCAGTTCCGACCAGATTCTTTCAGGCCGCCAGGGCCCAGACTCCAGTGCATCTTTCGGGTGGCTGCTGGTACGGCGGCTGCGGCTGCTGGTGCGGCTGGTGCATCAACGCGGCCTTGCCAGAAGAATGGTTCATGATGGTTCATGTGTTCTCACTGCAACTGAACTGGTTACGAATCAAATCCCAACCAACAAAGCTCTTTTAAACCCCCTCATCCAAAAAGGCCATGACTATAAACAGCCTTTCTGTTGGTGTAACTACCTTGTTATATCTTATGATCCACCAAAGTCGCATGGCAGTCCAACCAGTACTCCTTTATCTCACCACCCCTTGGCATATGGCCAGTAGGGCTGCTCAGGATCCCGCAGGATAGCTGTTGTTCTGCGTTGCTTGCCGGATGATCTCGTGAACATTTTGGTCTTTCGGGATCATGACCTGACCGCAGGGGAACATCATCAAACTTTGCTTGACCTGGAGGGTTCTGAGAAATCCAATTCCAACATTCACAACCAGCTCGACAGGTAAAGTTGGCAGTCCGCTGGAGCTGACACCTCACCGTACTTCTCGCTCTGTTCTCTGCATGTGTAAACAAACATGTGATATATAATATGTGATATGTGGGCGTGGCGGTCAAAGAACCTGCTTTTGCCAGCCTGGACATCAATCGCCACCTCTTTGGTCCCACCTTGGCCTTTGATGTCCCAGTCCTTCGCAAGGAACGGTGATCTCCCAGTCATTACGTACACATTGTGTTGGACGCTGACACCAAACGCATGCAAAGGTAATCACAAAGCTGCTATGTCTGTGGAGGCGCCCTGGCCCTTGCACAGAAAATGCCCGCTCCTTTAGGAAGGACACTTCGTCACCTGACCAAGTCAGGTCTCGAAATCGTGGCCAACGGGATCTTCAAACGGCGGTTGCCATGTCGTGACGCGGATCAATTCCCCCTACATCACAAGAGTTCAGTAGTGGACCGTGCACCGGAACAATCCTCAAAAGTGATTTACGACTATCCTGAGGCACAGCCTGAACGTAGGTCTTTGGCTATTACTACTAGGCTACTACTAGTTACAGTAGTACATGTTGAAACTGCATGAGGCCTCATCAGGACTAACAGAACAATACGACTCCACATTCATTCACGGAACGATGAGCGGCCTGAACAAAGATCAGTGACTCCGACCAAATTGTACCGGCCAACCCACAGCTGTTGCTCTGGGCCTCAGTAACGTCGGCAAGGCGAGCTATGGGGTTTTTGAACTGGAGCCAACAGTTAAGGTCTTCTTTCTAAAGCCCGCTGCCCCCTCCCCACTTAATTAAGTCGGCGCCTACCTCCAAAATAATATACAGTAGGTAAGGGAGAGGTAGCTAGTAGCCACCAGGACGCTCCTAGGTAGGACGCAGGATAGCTCACGCTTCCTTGAAGAATAAGAGCGCGCACTATTCATTTGGTTCCTAGATTTTAAGGGAAACTTAACCGGTGGAGCCAACAGTTTTTGAGCTTGTGGAGCCAATTCGCTGGCCAAGGATCCGCTTTCTCTTTGTGCTAGCGCATGCTAACGCAGTCGACTGAAGTGGCCGACGAATTGCACCAATGAACAGAACAAAGGCAACGCAAGACAAGATCAACCTTCAGAGATCACACAAACAGGAATACCATGGAAGAACCTTTGATTCAGGATGGGCTCCTCATGCGAGTTGTGGCCTCTGCATGTTTCAACAGTGCCCCCGCCCAACACAAAAGTGGTGTCGATCTCCGAGAGCGCAGGCTCCCTTCTGGGATGATATAGCCACAGCCGCGCTCCTTTCCTTGGTCAATGCATGTGGCGATCCAAAAACATTCTGCCACAGAACTTCACTTGCAACGAAACTGGCATGGCCTTGGGCGGGTGAAAAAATAAATGCGTCTTCCATCCACCAAGTGGCGCCACGACCTAAGAGGAGCGAGCGGACATTCGCGGTTGTCACTCGTGTGATGTCAGGGCCTATGACCGTCAAGGCCTTGCGGTTCGAAGGTCCGATACTGCAAGACCTTTATAGGTTCTCTTCGACATCCTTCAATGCTTGGTAGATGGTGCATTTTGTAACCCTTCGATGGTTGAGGAACATCCAAACTACCAAGATTGTAGCGGCTCAAGTCTCAGAAACTCCTTCTGAGTCCAAGGCTTGACTCTACCTCTCTGACGAGGTGTAGTGTAGTAGAGCATTCGGGCGCAGGCGAATGCTCAAGGAATACAACACAGCCGACACCAGTTTGCCTTCAAACTTGTCAAAAGCTATATAAGTTGAATCTTGCTTCGGCCCAGGTGTTGCCCCTCCATGTGCTGTGCCGATCACTTTTGTGGCATGTGATATATATTTGGCGGTTTTTGATGGCTTATCCGCCCCTGGCGGGCCCGGCTGAAGCGATGAGTGGACCGGAAAAACAGGTAATCTGCATGGATGTTCAGCGCTTAAATCAGCCGCGGCCGCGGCACATCGCGGGCGGCTGGCCAAGCCGAAAGGGCAACGATCAAGCGCAAGGAAAAAACAACGATCATTTGTCGTAGGAACCAAGTGCTGAGGGTCCTACATCTGTCTGCAATTGTATAAACCAATCAATCGCACCTGGGCCCCAAAGAAAGCCCCAAGTCAGCAGTGCACCGTTTATATACGTGTGAATTGATTGGTCTCACATACAGTACTGACTCAAAGAGCGTGAAGTACCCCAAAATGCCAGGCAAACGATCTAAGCCAGCCCTGACAGGACCTCGCGGCCTCAGGCAGTCGCCGCCACTATGGCCATCATGGCCGCCCAGAGCGAGACCGTCGCTATTCATGTGCAAAAAAACACTGAAAGAGAAGCAAATCAATAGGGTCTTTGACCGGTTCTTGACTTGCCCTTCTGCCAGCTCTACTGCCCTTGAGCCATCCGGCTGGTGGTCATTTGGCGGTGGGCATGGCCTTCAAGAAAAGGTCTCGCTTCATTTGGCGGTTGCAGTCAAACAACAACCAGTGTGGGGCAGCAATGTTCTGTGTACAAGTTCGTGTTGGCTAGACTCTGGACTCCGATAGACTCTGAAGTTCTGAGTTTCCATGTGACATTGCTTCACAAATCAAACTGACCAAACGGCAAGCGTTGTTCCAAGCATAACTCACAACCTCACCCTGCGGGAGCGTACTGGAGGTCCAGTTCCAGGGCGGTCGTCCTCCCTTGGAGGCAAAAAAAAGGATCAACTTGAGAATTTGCCAGGACTGGTCTCTTGTTTGATAGGACAAGGCCAGAGAAGGCTTCCCTTTGGACAAAGTCAGGGTCACTCGGGTTCTATGATTCCATGACAGACTGATACAGACAGGGACACAAGCTCTTGATTCTCATGTTCAATAGGCCATCAAACAACCTGTCTGTCTGCCTGCCGTCTCTCTGTCTGCCCAAATGCGGGAGAAAAAAAATAACAAGTCAAAATGTCAAAACACCAATGGGCTAGGCACCGCACCTGGTCTTTCCCTGCAAGGAAATCAGCAGCGCATTGCGAAAAAGTCGATTCTAAAGATATCTGACAAGCAAGAGCTAACAGAAGTGTTCCTTTCTCTCTGGCTTTATTTTGCAAAATTGCTCCGAATCCGGCCCAGAATGTAATCACCTGCCGTAATGGTGTCGCAGGTATCGCATTCGATGCGGACATGCTTGTCAGCCTGCATGAAGAAAGCCATCGAATAGCGCGACTTTGGAATGGCGCACTCACCCACTGTGGGCATCCGAACTCTGTGCAGGTTGGAGAGCAAGCGACTATCTGACCATCTGCCCAACATATCTCCGATGTTCACAGCAATTCCCCCAGGCACTGGATCCACTTTTAACCAAGGAGCACCCTCTTTCATTGCTTTCGGGTTCGGAGCGCATTCTAGCCCTTCATTTCCAGGACGTTGAAACAACAGGGTGATGCAGCACCAGTCCGTGTGTGGACCAGCCCTCCAATAGTTTGCAGGAAGCTGTCCGGGCTCGTGAACAGGTGGATAGTGTAAAAGCCGTAAGGTGCATTGCCCATCGTCCGCCCAAAGATTGTGCGCAGAGGCTAGCGTGCCAGGAGTCAGCTTGGGGCACGCTTGAGGCTCCAGAATGGAGAGGATCCGGCAACCCAGTGCATGGGACTTCTGCATAAACTCCCGCATGCTGGCTTCAAAGCTGGTCGAAGGCCAGCGCCCATCCATACAACCTTCTCGGGCAGTGATTTGAAGGCTCTCTTTCTGGTCAGGCGCACCTGTAGAGGGTCGAACCTGGGAGAAAAATTCATAGCCTGCGTTCAGGTTGGCTGCAAACGGGCTCTGTGTCTCTTTCAATTCCCTGCTCTGCCCAAAGAAACCAGCAGACAAGCCAAAGGCCTCATCAATCGCACCTTCCGGGATGCCATGGTTGGTCACAACGAAAAAGCCCGGCTCTTTGGCGGCCTCCCAAATGGCCTCAGCAGCCTCACTGCTAGAGAGGTCGATCACAGGCACCTTGCCGTGCACCGCATGCGCAGCTCCTAGACCTGACGTAGCCAATGAACGTTCAACTTCAACCTCTTGCGCGGCTGCAGCATCTGCTGCTTGCCCAACCTTCATAGCTTTGTTCCCACTCTCGCCGTTTGTTGCTGGACGCTTCAGTGGGCCCATCTCGAGAACACAGAGGGGACACAAGGGCGGCCGATTTTTACTAAGCCACACTCTTTGGAAAATGGCTGGAAGAATGATAAAGGCTCAGCCTTCTACACGCAACTTCAACATTAGACCCGATTCGATTCAATGTAAAGAAAGTGGCCGTCTGAGGTTCTGAAGAATTCCGAAGCTTGGTTTGCCGCCTTGCCCCCATCCTTCCTGGGCGGCCATGCCTTTGGGATGCGCTGAAAAACAAGAAATGTGCGAAATTATGATAAATTATGTATGTCTGGAGTCCGGAGATATCTGGGGGTGTGGCAAGATTAATAAATATTGAAGCATCCGTCCAAAACCCATTGGAAAACAATATGCAGGAGGAAACGGAAGACACTTGGCACAGAAAGTCTGTACAGTGTCAGCACACCAAATCCTTGAAGAGGTGAAAGTGTCCATCACAGCCCCTCTTCAACTCCCTCTTCAACACAATTCTGGGTTTCCACACCGGTGCCGGAGTCGAAGCAGCCGTGGACGGTGTGGGCGCATGATCTGCACAGTCAGATCTATTCTAACAATTTCGAGTGAAACAAGGTGCAATGTGCGTTTCCAGGATCTAACTGCACCAAATAGAATAGTGTTTCATGGGTGTCGTTTGATTTGGCAACCCTGGCCAGTTACCATACCAAATATCAGCTTACAAAGTGGTTTACGTTCGCTCGTGCATTGGAGCACCGCTGCTTTTGCAAGGAAACTTTTCTTGGCAATTGTCCCGTTGCGAGTTCAATGGTGAAAAATGCAAATATTTGCATGTTTTGTAGCAATACCCTCCAGGTTCCGCCCCACCTCTCTTCCCCGCATTGCCTCAAGCAGTGGCAGCACAACTGTCATGATCGTGCTAGACATACATATGTCCCACTGAAAGCTCTGCACTGGGGCGCGTTGACATGATGTTGTTCCAAAAAAACATCGTCCAACGCAAAAGGAGACACCTTACGCCCTTAGGCGACCGCACCATCCCCCCTTTCTCCTCGAACCCTGGTCCCCTGTGAGCCCTAACACCATAAACTTAAACCGCTTAGGCAACTGCCAGGTGTCATGTACAGCCCCTGGACCTCAGTTGCCAGGGTCGCGAGGCTCTTGAACCATGGAAACAAACGCGTTTGGCAGCGGCTACGGCTACACAATGCCGCCCAAAAAGCGGGTCCTGGTCGTCTAAGGGGCACCTGAGGTCGCAACGCTCCAGGGCACTACATTTCAAGAATTTCACATGCACAAGCCGTCAAGAGCCTCCTGCACTACGAACTTGGACCCAAAGTTACGGTTATGGAAACATTCAGGGACGCTTGGTGCGTTTCTTATATTTTTTCGGTGGTGCATGCTGCATGCCCGGTACTCACCACCAAGCTAGTTGTTGGCACACCTCCAGCTGCCGTAATTACAATGTTTTTCTCCTTTGGTGTTTCTGTGGTGCTTGGTCCCTCGCCTGATGTTGCTGATCTGCGCTCTCCTCCACCTGTTTGCACCTTGCTGCTTTTCTTCCACGTTGCGCCAGTCTGCAGTGCCAGTCCCGGGCCATGGCGAGCAAGGTGAACCATCGGTGGACAAGCACGTGGCTATTGGCATTGGCGAGTTGTGAGCAAATTGGCGCATTGCCATGACCCCGCGGTTAATGGGCAGTGGAGGGGTAAGTTTTGCTGTGCTTTTGGGAATGTGGTGCCTGGTGCGGGTTGGGATTCGCATGGTGACCTGGTGCGGATTGGCGCCAAGGGCCTGCCTGCTTTGACATGCCTTAATAGGTTGCGGTAGGTAGGTTCGTTTTTTCCCCCACGGGCCGGTTGGATGCAGCCTTAGGCCTTTCCAAGCCGAGATTTGCGCCGCTGTGCGCTGTTTCAAGCAAGCGTTCATGGACCACTCCTCCTAGTCGAACCGTCTGGGTTCGGAAACTGGGTGAAGTTGATCTGCCGTTTTTGCACCACACTGTCCCATCACCACTTCCTTGCTCAACATGCGGGAGGCGTTGCCCAAAATGGCAAGGAGATTCGGTGAGGGTAACCTTTGTCCTCCACGCCCTTTTCCGCTGAGATGCCCGGATCGGTTAAAACCTACGAACTACTGGATCTAGTGGCCCGATCCGAGTTCCCCACCTGCGCTAGCACGAAGCCTGGGAGAGTTTCGACAAAACACAGCACGGTTCCCTAATTGAATGGAGGAAGCACCACCGGGGATGCAGCGAAAGGCTGCAAGGTGGCAGCCGTCGCGCACCATTGAAACGGTAGGCCGTGACAGCGGCTGAACGGCCTTTGCCAACGCCAGGAATCATAAGGAATCGGTGTGGGAACTCCATTGGCCACCAACTTCTAAGACAAGAACCGCGGGGCGAGAGCGATCCAGCTCCGGATACATGTGTTGCTTCTCCCGCCGGGCGTCACGGAGTTGCAACAAGTGTTGCGGCGATGCTCAATGGAACCCCCTTTCAAGCGTGCGCACATCTGAAGAAAAAATACATGCGCGGAACGTCATCGGAGAGTGGAAATTGCTAAATCGGACCGTGCCTTACCCGACTCCTGGGAAAAATCGCGGCATGCGCTGGTTTTCTTCAATCATAAACAACATACAAGTTCATTGCATCCGTGTGCACTCGGCAGCTGGCGCGAGATGTTCAATCTTTGGGCTGCGGCAAGGTCATGGCATGTGCAACATGTCACACAAGGTGCTGCAGCTACCTCAGCATCATTTGCAACATCTGCCAACTGAACCTTGCGGAACATCCGGCGAGAGACCTCCAACAGTCAGGTGGGGGGAACACAATTTCATTCCAAACCCCAGCAATTTTCAATGTTTGGGCTGGGGCACGTTCATGGCATTTGCTGCGTGGCCACGGGTACTTGCATCTGCGAAAAAGATCTGGCGGAATATCCGGGAAAAGGGTTTGAGGCAGTGCGAGTTCATCCGTGAATTTTCAATGTTTAGGGTTTCCGCGACCTGCTAAATGCTAAGTTCAAAGTTCTTGGGTTTCTGGCAAGGCGACGGCAAAGCATCTGGCTATATGTACTAGTTACTAGGAGGAACCCACACGAGCTGCCAAGTGCAAGTGGCTGTGCCAAGTCCAAGGGGCTGTGCACCTGATGGATTTCAAGGGGGGACTTGGGTCGGTGAACTGGGCTTAGCAGTTGTCCTGTGCGCTGCGGCCCATCTGTGTTTGTGTAGCCGTCAGTTGGGAGGGACACCATTGAAGCAGCGAACGCGTGCATTCGTGCGTGGGTGAGGAGTGCTGACCCACGTGGAATGAGAGTTCCCGCGAGTGATTGGCGGAGGGCCAGTGGTGCATCTCGGGCTTTGGACAACGCGGGCTGCTTCTGAATTCCACCGACTCCACGCTTCAAAGGCCAAAAACGACCAAGCAGCATCGGGTTGCTGTGCAGAACTAGGAATAAGTCCGCCCTTTTGCTTTTCAGGCATCTTGCAGGGCCGTTCCGGCATATTGGCCTCCCCGTCTGCACGTTTCACCCGTGACCATGTATTCCAACGCATGAAACATCATAGAAGTGGAGACACCCATCTTGAACTTGCCGACTTCCTTTTAAGGCAGGTCGGCGGATGGCAACCCCTGCGCATGTAGGCACCAGTGCCAAGGCACTCGAAGCTCATACAACTGTAAAGACCGAAACAACAACAATAAATCACTTGGATGCTTTCTTAAGAACATAGTATGCTGTGGACCTCATTGCGTTTTCTGCTTGAGCCCGGGCCAGTTTTTAGGGGATCATTGCCGGAATGTTAAATCTTTTTCACAATATTTTTTTTCCCCGGACCTTTTTTCCGCGGCTCGACTGCGCGGGCCCGCGCAAACGGGCGTTTTGGCAATTGAGACTGGTCCCATAGTTTGTTCTCCTTCAAGCAGCGGGACTATCCAGCGGAACCTGGGCGCTCGTGCCGCTGCACGGTGCAGCTGGTGGGCGCCACTGACAGATGTACATGGGCGTGTGCACTTTGGTACCGCTGCGGGCTGCCACCGCCTAGCGCGCAGGTTTTAGCTTTGCTAGTTGGGGTGTGTGCCAAAATAATGCTTAAAGACTTGCCCTTGGCCGCACCCCTTCAGAAGGAAAATGGGAGACACATGAAGGCACACAAACAATCAGAACGCAAAGGCTTCCTTGACGCCAGATTGACTAAACTAGGTGGGCCATCACTACTGCCTTACCCCCCGGGGAGGGTTAAAACTGTAATTTACATTTTCGGATGTGTCAAAATGCAGGTTTTGGAAAACGGTGAAAATTGAACATACAGGTCTGATGTACCTCCATCTCACAAGACAGGGGTCAAAAATGTAAGTTACATTTTTGACCCTTGTGTGTGTTTGTTTGGCCTACCCCCCCTCCTTTCAGAGTCTCCAGAAGTAGGCCAAGACCTCTTTCAGGGGGGAGGGGTCAAAAAAAGTAACATCCTCACATAGGCTACCTCAACCCTAGATCTTACAATTTTCAACCCCCCCCCCTATAGGGCTATATAATCTATATAAGGCTATTGTTGTAAAATCAAAAAATGTAACTTACAATTTTGACCCCTTCGGGGGGGTCAAGCACCGCAAGGGGGTAGTGATGGTGGGCCCCTCACTCGCTAAACAAAAACAAACACAAACAGCGTCAGCTCCTCTTGTCCCCCTCCAATTTAGTTTCTTTTCTGTAATTTGGCTCGCTTGCAGCTGGTGATGGTGCCACCACAAGCTCAACGAACACAAGCCATTAGACATCGCACACAGAAAAGAGCGCAGGGTAACTGTAGGCAAAGAGACAAAGGCACTGCAAGCATGTCAATACTGCTCACACGTGGCCTGCGAGCTGCAGGGTTTTCACGGGCCGTTTGGTCGAGCACAAATCGTCTGCTACATTGACCGTTTCATCGCAACAAAACTTGATAAGAGGGATACACGAAAGGTAGGACAGCGGAATAAGCATGTAAAATATGCAGCGCGGTGTTGGTGGAGTCGAACCAAACGTCAACTTGAGAATGGGGGAAAAGATCAGAGCTTTACATAATTATATACCTATATTTTCATACAGTTATCCTGACACCAAAAAACACTAAAAACAACATGTCATGTCTCTGCATGGGCTCAGAACACTGCCCCAAGCTTAGGGCGTTCAACACCAAATAATCATCGAGGTGTCGAGG